TTCCCCTTTCCCTAGAGAGGGAGAGAGTTATTCTGCTCTGATGCTTAGGTCCATACCCACCAGCCAAGTCCTTTCCTAGCAGACACCGTTATCTGTGGGAGGCAAGTCAATTGTTACTTGTTTTAAGAAATGTCAGGAATATTTGGGAGCTTCCAAGAGCCGCAGGTTCATGCCACAAATACCTGGGGTAAGCCCTGGGCAGAGCTGTTGGCACTGGAAGTCAACCTGGAGTTTCCATGAGTAAGTGGAAGCCTTGCCAGATGTGTTTGTCTAGAGATGGTAGGAGAGTCCCCTCTAATTTGGGGGTGCAGCTGGCTGCCTCAGGGAGCCAGGGCACAACATTTTGTACACCTGCTGTGCAACGACCTAGATAACAATCAGATTTTAGAAGAGAAATTGGAAATTGTGGAGATGTGACTGGTGAGAGGTCAATCTTTGCCATTGTGGTATGGCTGTGATCAAGGGCTTGTTTTGGTTTGGGCATTTTCCCATTTCTAGTCTCTTTTCTCTGCTTAGTTATCTCTGCTGGTATGGTGGGCCAGGTGCTTCATGGTCATCACAGGTACTAAGAGATGAAATAGCATGTGTGTAGCATCATGTTTTGCATCACGTCATCTCACTCCAACACATGTTGAATGGGAATACTCCTTCCTTGCTGAGCGATCATACTCCAAGGCTGCCTTCATGAGTTGTTACCACTCACTACAAAAAACAATAATTGCCGTGAGGGACGTGGATAAACCTTATGCTTATCCTGTGGCACTTGTTCAGCCTCTTCCCCAGAAGGGTCAAGACTGATCCTGAACACTGTGTGGGTGCCCGGGGAGAGATCAGGAGCTGAGATCTGCCAGTCTTGTGGGTATTGGAAGACTCTTGTGATGGATATGTCAGGAAGGATGGAAACCAGGTGGGATACAAAGAGGTGCCCAGGTCCCTGCCCTTGCCGTAATTCCAGGAGATGGCATCCACGAATGGTGGGGAGCTCAGCTCCATTCTGGCATGCGTTTCTTGGTCACTGGTGAAGTGTGGCTCATCCCCAGGAGGGGCTTGTGAAGAGGCCTGTGGAGAAGGAGGAGACTTACAGGGCTCCAAGGAGAACAGGGCGAGACCCAGTCTCAAAAACCAGCTGTGTGGAAGCCATTGTCACAGGCTTGCCAAAGACCAGGTGAACCGTAGTGCACTCTCCAGCAGCCCTTACTTTTGTGATCAGATATCTGGATAATTTCTTTCCTATGGATGTCTCTATGGCACGTGCTGCTGAGATATCTGAATGAGAGTTCCCCTCCTTGCCTCCCAAACTTTCCCTGCTGCAACATCTGCCCTCATCCTTTTATCTCTCCACACAGCCCTTCCTCTTGGCTCCTACAGGAGGGACCTTTCCTGCAGATAAAGCGGCCACAGCGTCGGCAGGCCGATCGCTATTCCTCGGCCATCACGGGAGCCCTTCCTTCCCCCGCAGCCGCCTTCCCTTTGAAATGTGCCGCATGGCAGGCGACACTTATCATTCTGTGCCGCTCCCTTGCTTTCTGACAGGCGATGAGCGAGCTGTCAGATGGACCAAGTGCCTTCACCCACCACCCCTGCCACAGAGGAGCTCTCGTTTTGCCAGGGGGTGGAGGGGGGCTCACACCTGCCCCATGGGGATGGCAGATCAAAGTAGAGTATGCTGGGGGAGAGCATGCTGGATTGCATGCCTCTCCTTTTTTCTTTTTTTTTCTTCCTCCACTTTGCCTTGCCCTCCTTTCCACATCCCTTGTTCTGATTTCCTACCTGCTCCTCTCCTACTTTTCTTATGCTTTTTGTCTATCCTCGTTCCTTTGGAAAGCACAGTTATTGTCAGTGATTTAGAGGCTCTCCAGTGGCTACTGAGCCTCACCAGCAGAGTGCTGCTCAAAGGCCAGTGACCTGGGATTTATGGCTAATGTTCTCAGTTAATAACATGGATTTACTTAAGGAGTCCATCGAAATGCCCTCAGAGATCAGGGAATGGACAGTCTGGCTGGCCTCAGGAGCCTTCTTTATGGCTGGCAGCAGCGAAGCATCTCCATTGAGCCTGCAGAGGCATGGCTCTGAAAGTCGGGGAAGACAGCAAGTCCACCCTTTCCACTGGTGATGTTTCTGCAGCAGCTTTCCCTTTGGCCTTCAACTGACAGATTGCAGGGCAAACGCAATGCTGCCATCCCACTATGCTCTCTAGTTGGATATGCAAGTGCCTCTGTTGACATTTCCTTTGAGGGGGAAAAAAAAAAAAAAAGAAAACAAATTGCTTCTTTTCCCACTGTTATTAAACCAATGAAAGCAAGAACAGCAGAGCTGTAAATTTTTTCCACACTACATTAATTATGTGCGTGTGTGTGTTTGTATTTACATGGGCTCACTGCAGTGCGGTGGGGAAGTACAGCTCATGGAATTGACATAAGGGCATGATGTTTTTATTTAAAGAACTAAACAAGAATTTGGGGTCACTTTTATATTCTTCACTGGGTTTTGGTGACTCTTGGCCTTGTGGACTTCTCTTCTGGGCTATAAGAAACAGGTCTGTCCTGCAGGTTGAAGGATGAGGTGGGTGAGCTGGCACTTGTGCCCAAGCTCAAGATTGAAGCATCCCAGCGGGTAGGAAATCAAGAAAGGGAGCCAGGAGACTCGCATGGTTAAACAGGGAACTGATGGGCAAACTCAAGTGGAAGAAGAGAGTCTATAGATCTTGGAAGGGTGGATGGCGAATATAAGACTGTTGTCAGAGGATGTAGGGAGGCACTAGGAAAGCTAAGGCCTCCCTGGAGTTAAGCCTTGTAAGGGAGGTCAAGGACAACAGAAAGGGCTTCTTCAAATACGTTGCAGACAAAACTAACGCTAGAGGCAATGTAGGCCCACTGTTGAATGAGGTGGGTGCCCTGGTGGCAGAGGATACAAAGAAGGCGGAGTCACTGAAAGCCTTCTTTGCCTCTGTTTATACTGCTGGAGACTGTCCCAGACTCCTGAGGCCCCAGAGGAACTCAGGATAAAGGAGGAGTTTGACTTGGTTGATCAGGACTGGGTTAGGGATCAGTTAAGCAATCTGGACATACATAAATCCATGGGCCCTGATGGGGTGTGCCCATGGGTGCTGAGGGAACCGGCCGAAGTCATTGCTAGATCACTCTCCATCATCTTTGGTAAGTCATGGGGAACAGGGGAGGTGCCTGAGGACTGGAGGAAAGCAAATGTCACTCCAGTCTTCAAAAAAGGCAAGAAGGAGGACCTGGGTAACTACAGACCAGTCAGCCTCACCTCCTCCCCTGGAAAGTGATGGAACAACTTATCCTCGGCACTGTCTCTAGGCATATCAAGAGCAAGAGGGTCATTAGGAGCAGTCGACATGGCTTTACCAAGGGAAAGTCACATTTGACCAACCTGATGGCCTTTTATGAAGACATAACCAGGTGGATAAATTATGGTAGTGGTTTATCCTGATTTCAGTAAGGCATTTGATACAGTCTCCCACAGCATCCTCGCAGCTGAACTGAGGAGGCGTGGTCTGGATGATGGGGTAGTGAGGTGGATTGTGAATTGATTGAAGGAAAGAAGTCAGAGAGTTGTGGTCAATGGGACAGAGTCTAGTTGGAGGCCTGTATCTAGGGGAGTCCCTCAGGGGTCAGTACTGGGACCAGTACTATTCCATTTATTCATCAATGACCTGCATGAGGGAGCAGAGTGCACTGTCAGCAAGTTTGCTGATGACACAAAACTGGGAGGAGTGGCTGACACACCAGCAAGCTGTGCTGCCATTCAGCGAGACCTGGACAGGCTGGAGAGCTGGATGGGGAGAAATTTAATGAAATACAACAAGGGCAAGTGTAAAGTCTTGCATCTGGGAAAGAACATCCCCATGTACCAGTATAGGTTGGGGACTGAGCTGTTAGAGAGTAGCATAGGTGAAAGGGACCTGGGGGTCCTGGTGGACAGCAGGATGACCATGAGCCAGCAATGTGCCCT